GGGAGCCAAGCTAGTGCTGTACGTAAGGTGAGACATGTCGAGAGGGTGGATTTGGCGCGAACGGAGGGACTCGTTGTTGCAGGTGATGTCGTAGAAGGGGGAGAGAGCGAAGTAGTCGAAGACGAGGTTGCGGTCGAGCGGGTAGGTGTCGAGCCACAGTTGGTCGCGGAAGCAGATCCCCGTCATGTCCGTGCCCGGAGGGGGCGGGAGCGCCACCGCGCCGTCGGGGCCCGACGAGGGCAGCGGCGTCGCCGACATCGCCGTGCGGGAAGCGCTGTACTACGACTCTACGAGAGAGTGGCCTCAGCCCACCAAATCGAACGGAAGAGTGGGACAGAGGCTGCGCTGCTGAGACGACGAGGTAGGGTTTGGTTCCAGGGATGGATTGGGACAAGGTGGGATATCCCACTTTGATATGGTGCTAGCTCACCCTGCCCCAAAAATTTTCACGGACTAGCTCGTCCCACCTGGGACGAGCACTGCTTCGTGCGCGCGTGAGGAGGAGCACCGAGAAGGTGGTGGCAACCGGCGGCGAATCCCAGCTGTGGCTGCGGGCGGAGGTGCTGGGGTGGATCGCAGGTCCGTGCGGCGTCGCAGGGGGGCAGAGAACCAAGGGCGGCGTCGCGGGGAGCGGAGAGCCGAGGGCGGCGGCGCGGGAGGCGTGCGGCGGCAGGCCGAGGGCAGTGGCGCGGGAAGCTGAGGTGGTTCGTGTGGCGGCGTGGGGGACAAGGAGTGACGACGGCGGCGCTGGGGTCCGATGCCGCGAGATGCGACCGACCGGGAAGAGAAATAGAAGAAAAGAGAAAAAAAATAAAAAATAATACTGACAAGTGGGCCCCATATATTATAGTCTTGTCCTACTTTTGATCGTTCCTTAAAACCAAACACAAGATAAGGATGCCCCTGTCCTCTTAACAAAACAAAAGAGAAACACAATTCTCTCACTCAATTCGATTTCTACAGCAAATCCGTCCTCTCTCCCCCTTCTTCTCCATGTCCGGCGGGCATATAAGGGGGTTCAGGGGAGGAAGACCGACCAAATAATAGAGACAGCGACAGGACGGTTTAGGGGCCCTAGTGGCGGTGGAGACGGTCAGGCAAGTCGGAGCGAGGTCACCCATGGCTGGAGCTCACCGCAGACGCCAGAGCTCGGGGAGGGGAAGAAAGAGGCCGCAGCGGGGAGGGCGGTGGCGGGGGCTACGAGGAAGATGAACAGTGAACAAACGAATCAAGTATTCTGCCGGTCCCCCTCCCCTCGAAAGAAACACTCGAACGCAGAAAAGACGGACCCCAAAAGATGAAACCATCATATTCCTCAAAAGTGACTGTTCCATCCTACTATGTCTCTTAGCATGTGTTTGGTTGTAAGATTAGGAATGGGTTGAACCCAACCCTGATTTTTGGGATAGGGCGAACCCAGTTCTATGTTTGTGTTTGCTTTAGGAGGTTTGGTTGAACTCAGGTGTGTGTTTGGTTGTACAGGTTTTGTATGAGTGGGATAAGTCACTGACTGGTGGGGCCCGCGTGACAGCCTCTCACCTTCTTCTACCTCGTGCTCTCTCGCTATCTCCGACGCCGCGCGCCGCTCTCTCTCTCCGAGGCAGCACGCCGGCCGCGCGCTGCTCCCTGGCCACGCACTGCCGCTCCCTGGCCACGCCGCCGCAGCTCCCTGGTCGCGTCGCCGCAGGTCCCCTGGACGCGCGCCGCTTCTGCTCTCTGAGGCCACACGCCAGACACGCGCCGCTGCAGCTCCCTGGCCGCACCATCGCCGTAGCTCCCTGGCCGCGTTGCCGCCGCTCCCCTGGCCGCACGCCGCTTCCGCTCTCCAAGGCCGCGCGCCGAACGCGCGTCGCTGCTCCATGGTCGCGCCGCCACTGCTCCCTAGCCGCGTAGCCGCCGCTCCCCTGGCCGCACGCTGCTTCCGCTCTTCGAGGCCGCACGCCGGGCGCGGTGCTGCTCAGCCCTGCCGCGGGCTCCACGGACGGACGCGAGACGCGCGACTGGGTCAAACCCCGTCCGCTCGTTTCCATGGAACCGTGGGGTAAACCCAACTCCCACCTCCCTAAACCAAACACTCTTAAAAGTAAGTTCAACCTAACCCAAACCCAGTTCACCCCTCATACTAAACACATGCTTAATCAAACACTGCCTCGTCTAGAAGGCGCTTTCGTCGAATCTTTATTTTTCTTTTCTTGGTCCAACCCAACCCAAACTCAGTTCACCCCTTCAACCAAACACATGCTTAATCAAACACTACCTCGTCTAGAAGGCGCTTTCGTCGAATCTTTATTTTCTTTTCTTTTTTATTTATTCATATATACATACAAGATTGTGCCGAAGTCGAAGTGTGACTTTGTGAGAGATAGGTACTCCCTCCGTTCCAAATTATAAGATGTTTTGGCTTTTATAGATATGTTGCTTTCATTATGCATCAGACATAGTGTATATCTAAGACGTAATAAAAAATCATGAATTTAGAAAAGCTAAAGTGTCTTATAATTTAGAACGGATTAAGTATTACGGTACTTTTTTTCTAAGTTGGTATTAGTTTTGACTACTGAATCACAATTTGTGAAATAGTGATCTCATTTTCCTACCCAAAACATTTTTGAAAGCGGATGCATTGGCATTTGCGGTGGACCAATAAAAACGTGGCGTGGCGTGACATTGGCATTTGCGTTGGACAGATAAAAAATGATTCCACGATAAAAAAAAAAAAGGAGCACGGCAAATTCAAGATACTTTTGCCGCATATCTACTCGTATTAGGAAGGTGTCAGGATAAAGAACAGTACAGTAATCTGGAAGTAATCGGGGGTACCACCACTGATTAGTAAGGTCTTCTTTGGTGTTATAAGTCATTTCAAAAATCTTAGATAGTCAAAGTATATCAAATTTGACCAAATTTATATAATAAGGTAACAACATTTATGATACCAACTAAGTATCATTAGATTCTTTATTAATTATATTTTCATAATATACCTATATGATGTCGGTCAAACTTAAGATGCTTTGACTCTCCAAGATTCTTTGAATGGGTTATAATTTGGAATGGAAGGAGTATTAAAAAAAATCTTGTTTGGTAGGATTCTTCCTTGAGGGCTCCTTTAGAAAGAGCTGTAGCCGTTTTGTAGGAGTCATGCTTTTTTTCTAGTGAAATACACGGCTCCTCCTATTAAACCGTTTGGTAGGGCTCCTCTGCATGAGCCGGTGCCGCAGAGAAGCCCTATCAAATAGGACCTAACTCGACAAGTACTTCTGTCTTTTATACATGTTGTATTAGATTTGTTCTAAGGTAAATGTTTTTAACTTTGGAGGATTTATTTTTAAAAAAATAGGTTAACAATATAAGATTTATATTTTGAATTCACTGTAAGAAAATACTTTCATAATATATAGTTCACACATGTTGTTAAACTATTTGGATTTTTAATAATTAATTAATGGTCAAAGTTAAAAAAAAGACTAGACCGACCTAGAAGGAACTAGGTCAACAATATAAGATTTATGTTTTGAATTCACTATAAGAAAATACTTTCATAATACATAGTTCATAAATGTTGTGAAAGTACTTGGATTTTTTAAATGATGGTCAAAGTTAAAAAAAACTAGACCAACCTAGGAGGAACTAGTAGCATTTTATTATTAATTATTATTATTAAATTATTAATTTAAAAAGAAATAGGCACCTAAATTTGCCTCAACAAGGACTTAAACCTAAATGGTTTGGGTATACATCAACACCACCAACCGACCGAGCTAGCTCACTTTCCTGAAATTAATGATCAAAGTTAGAAATGATAGACTTAAGATAAACATAATATGACATGTAAAAAACGGAAGAAATATATAAAGAGTTATCTAATTGATAATAAATATTTTGATCACAGCAACCAAAAGGAGGTGTGCTCTTGGATTCAAGCACTAGTTGAGTGGATAAAGGTGACGGTTCGCGGTGCTTTTAAAGAAACTACTCTCTCTGTGTTTCAATCTAGTTTAAAAATGAACACATAGGTGTGTGCGCTGGGGAAGTTGAAGCATTGGCTTGTAGTACAAGAGAAGGGTCGCAGCTGCCGGAAAACGCAAGGAGTTCTTCATCACATCAATTGGGTGCTCAGTCACTACTCACTAGCCTTATTGGCAGTACTTAAGTCAGTACTTTACTGGTGGCGGGCGCGCCTAAACGCTATTTGAACTCGATGGGTCGCTTTTTGAAATATAAAATAGGGGTTACCTTTTGTCTATGAATTAGCTCAATTAGCATAACGGGTACAAGCACCTGATCTAGGAAAGAATGCTACATGAAAATGACTGTAATCTTATTTCTGAGTAATCAATAAAACACTATTTCTGAGTAGATCATTGCACGCGTGCATCCCTAGCACGCCACATCTGCTCCAGTTTTATATGTTCTTTCATATTGTTCACCGGTATATCCATATTACTGATAACAAGGTATGAGCGTTTTAACCTGTAAAGTTTGTCAAAAAAAAAAAAAAAAAAACTCCCACCATCTCCCACCGTTCCAAATTGTAATACGTTTTGAGTTTTCTAGATACATAGTTTTTATTATGCATTTAGATGCATTTAGATATACACTATGTCTAGACACGTATAAAATCAATGTATGTAGAAAAAACAAAACGTCTTATAATTTAGAATGAAGAGAGTAGCTAGCAAAACTAGCACAAGTTCAACATCTTAAACGCTTAATACAAATATATAATGAACAGTGAAATGCATGATTACTTTCTTAACCTGGAAAGTTCATCAAACTTGCAGCACTGCAGAAATTTATCAGCTGCAGCTACAATTTACATTGACGCCTTGCACAACCATAGCATTACGGGTTGAGGCAGACAAGGACCATCTCTTGCCAAAGAATAGTGTTACAACATAGGTTTCCAAATAGTAAAAACAAAGTTACAGGGGCTGCCGTCAAATGGCATCCATATACAACATCAACATCATATATAACTCTACACTAACACAGTAACACTACGATGATCGTACATCTTTGAAAACACCACCCCTCTCCATCTCTGCAACAATCTCTTTCAAGGCCGTCACTTTGCTGGCTAAGGTTCTGTACAATCTTGAATACCTGGCCCTTGTACCATCTGCTGTTCGTGCCAAGGCAAGCAAGCTGACTGCCTCTGGCAATTGCTCAAACACACCTTTTATTTCCTCAAAACTCAAGTCCGCAAGAACTGTTGGTCTTGGAACAACGCGGATCACCTCGCCACCTTTAGGCTCCTGGACTCGCAGATCAGCCTTAATCACCAACTCACTGCTCGAATTTGCTCCACACTTTATGATGAAAGGTGCAGTCGTTCCCGTGTTGAACTGCAGTACATTCCACTGTGAAACCTCGCTCTCTCCCAATGCATTAGACTGCGGGGCAGGATCATCAGGGTCTTCTTCCAGTGACTGCACCAATTCATGGCAGCATTGTGTCAAAATAAGGTTGAACTGCACGTTGTTTAAGAAAACAAAGTATGTAGACTTCTGCAATATAAATGCTTGGAGCCTCGGAATAAAGCTTGTGCACATATACAGCATTTCCCAATGGGAGATAAAGAGAAGGCGTTGCTTAATCTAATATTCACTAGAAATCTTTAGCCAGTTATAACTGTAGTCTGTATGATGTATGTGACTGTTTATTTAGGTGTAATGATGTTCCTTGGATCTCAGGTGCTCACAAGACGTGGAAATGAGGCAATCCCTTGTGCCATCTCTTGTATTCTACTTTCACAGACTAGAGATTTCACAGTTTCGCAATTGTAACAAAAATAACTATTGCATGCTGTGACAAACATTAATGAATAGGGTTCCTGCAAGATCCTATCTCACAAAAATTCATTTCTGAAACTTCCAGATTCTGAAATGTAATTTCAAACTGGACACAGCTACCTAAATTATAAGTCATTCTGGCTTTTCTAGATACATTGTTTTTGCTATGCACCTAGATATAGGCTATGTCTAGATACATAATAAAAATTATGTATCTACAAAAGCCAGAATGACTTATAATTCAGAGTGAAGGGAGTTGAAGGAATCAGTATGCTAGTTGCTAGGGCTATGCATTTGCCAACGTTCTGCCAAAGAACCAAAGAGTCTAGCAAATTGTGATGTATTAAGGTATACAGAAGGCATGACTGCCAAATTTTGTGCATAAGATAAGTAGCAGAAATGCAGAATACATAGGTAATGTCAAATACTAGTTTATGTTACAGTTAAAAAAATAGTTATTGTTGAAGTGGATTTGGTTGGGATAACAGAAAGAACCAGTTAGTCTCCATCCCTCTGAAGGCTCTGGCTACTTTTAGGGTTCGACTTGCTTGATCTGAACTGAACGAACAAGGTTGTCAAGGTTGTCTCCCTAAGCAAATATCCTAATCGAGTCAAACCTATCTCTTTCATAACAGACCAACAAATACAATATAATCCATGGTACTATCCACGTGCTACAGTGACCGCCTGAACAGTAAGCGCCTATAACTGGTCCCACTGCCATCGCGATGGACATTGTATGTGTGAAGTTGGGCACAAGAGAATAATAAGTTAAATGAAAAGTCAAAGAAAGATAGGAATGCTTAAGCTCTACTTACAAATGAGATGATAATGACAAAGATGTAGGAAAAACAAGCTCATGAGGGAATAATCCCTTCATCATGTCATCATAATACTTTTATAGCTTTCTTATAAACACTGGTATTTCTTATTAATCCAGAGCAATGATTCCAAGGTACTATCTACATACCTCGACAACTTTCCGTGCCTCCATGATCTGCTTCTGAGCACATGGATGATCTATATCAAGAAGAGAGGGCATCTGTGTCAAGAGGTCATCCAATGACTCCAGCAAAGCTTTCCTTTTTGATTTTCTCATAGGTCTTGTAGAGCTTTGTCTCATTACTTCCTGATGTCAAAGAATGAGCAAGCACCTCAAGTTAGTAAACATATTATAAGAGCTAGATAACTATATCTGCATTGGCAAAGCATCAGACCTTGACTTGCTTCAAGATGTTATCTAGCGATATGAGAGATGCTAATCGCGCATCCTCGGCAGCAGTAGGAGGATTTCGAATTGGTGAACCACCTTCTTCTTTTGTTAACAAGGCAGTGTCAGTTCGCATTTGTTGCATGATCTGATAATAGCATGGCATGATTGGGATCACTCAAGTACAGATGTTACAAGAAAAGAAATCATACAAACTACAGAAACTTAACATGTAGTAAGAATCATTTGATTCATCAAACACACAATGAAAAATGGACAGTATCATGCAGTGATTCAGGTAAGCACCTTTCTCCTTTTGTGATCCACAGACTCCAGAGCAGAACGGAGTTTACTGACATGTGCAGGATCATCAGCCTCCTCCGTTGCCAATGTGCCAGCTATGTCCTGCAAAATTGGGAAGAATAAGGCAAAAGAGCTTTAATAAATTTGGTCGACCGGATGATGAGTCTGGGAAATGAAACCTTCAAGTGTTGTAATTGTGATGTGTAAACACGCTTTGTGTATTCTGATAAAAGCTGGCCTAAAGCATCAGTGGTAGGGGGCTGCGCTGTACCAAGACCAGCCATCCATCCATCCATAATAGCGGTTGACAGCAGTTCAAGCTGTCCTGCAGCTCCTCCAGCAGCATCCACACCAGTTACAGACAGAAACTCAAAGTTTTCAGCAAGCCATGCACGAATTTGGCGCTGTAATTCACCAGCTGGCGTGTGAACAAAGAGAGCAGCTAAAGCCTTGTTTCCAATTGAAAAGGCCTTAGCTTCCTCAGTAATTTCCCGGAGCTTCCCTCCAGTCACATGTTGTCTCCAAGTCTCCTGCCCAATTATTGTGAAATTAGCACCAGAATGGTTCAGAAAGAAAATAAATGCCAGGTCATTCATATCAGATGGTGCTATCAATAGATCAGCATAGAGCATACCATGTCCAAACTTAACACATTAACTTCACTACAACTACCTAAAATCCATATACTACATGGTTGCCTAGAAACAATTAAGGACAGGATCCCATTGGAACATATATGTACTACAAAAGAACAAAAATTTACCTCCTCAATACCACGAAGCTTCAGAACGATCGAGGAGAATTTTGATTTCTTTTCCTGTTTAATGTTCACCTTGAAACCATGCACATGTTCATCAACAAGCGCAGTTCGGGAACCATGACCATGGTGGTAAACAGGAGATCTGCCAGGACTACTTCCCCTACTAGAACTTCTACTTCGACCAGTATTTGATTTCTCCAAGAAACGCTCAACTGGAGAGACCTTTATGAAGCAAGGTCAGAGAGTATACTGTTAGGCTTAATGCAAAATGATAAGATGACTGCTTATATTTTCCCTTAAAATAAATAAATGTAGACAAAACAGAGAAATCATGATACCTTGATGGACTGTAGTTCTGGTGATTTAGCAAGCAAAGATCTAATGTATAATATTCTGACTCTTGAAACTAACATAGTATCCATAACTTTTCTCGGTTCCATCTTTCGAATGAATGAAAACACAGCATCGCGGATCTCAGCAAGTATCTCATGCTCCCTAGCTGCACCAGCTTTGATAACTGCAGCCAAGACCTGCACGCAAAACATTTCCACTATTGCTTGTGCATGGAAATCATGGAAATTGTAAAAATAACATGTAGGAAAGCTGTGTATCATTGCATTAATAGAAGAGAGTTGCAAAACACACACACACCACTGATATAGCAATTACATACGCGTGTATATTGTAAGGAGAAAGAGAACGATTTGATCTAGAAATCAACTACCCAAGGTAGAGGAGATAAGGAGAACCCCTTAGCTCATGCCACACCCCAAAGCTGTGATTCCTCCCCAGCAAGAGACAAGAACATAAATAAGCTTGGAGAGCATCATTAAAAACACAGTAGTTTCTGTATTTCCACAAAGTCCAAGCACCCAAAATGATGAGTGAGTTTATGCCTTGCTGGACCAGACTGCTCACAGCAGTCCCATACAATATAAAAGTGTGCAGAAGAAAAGGTTCAGTGGTACATATGTACTCAGGGATGCAAGAGGGCCTCTGATATTCAGCTCCAATCTAATGCACAAGATGAGCACTGTTGGTGGCTTACAAATTCTGGCATACTTGACTAAGTCAGCATATGCATAGAGGCTATGTCCGTTGAGCCATGGGAGTTAATCTGGAAATTTTGGGTGCCAGAGAAGTGACAGTTTTTCCTTTAGTTGTGCACACAATAGATGTTGGACAGAGGATAGGCTGCCCCCTTAGAGGATTGCCTCATCCAAATCAATGCCCTTTGGATGATCATGGGGATGAGACCATCCAACATGTCCTTTTGAGTTGCGTCTTCTTCAGCCAGGTGTGGTCACTCCTCTTCCTTTGTTATGGACTGCCTGAGTTCTCACCACAGCTCGATGACATGGTGTCCTAGCTTTCTGGGAGTAAGAGAGTTGTGGTTGACAATCAATGCTATGATCCTGGGAAGCTGGAAGCAGGGTTTTAACCCGCTGATCACTCTGGGTGAATGGACCGTGTGGAAGCACTGCAACAATATTGTGCTCAATGGAGCTAAGCCTAGTGTAGAGCTTATCCTCAGGCAGATTTTAGAGGCGGTCACGTCTGGGAAACTGGAAGCAGGGTTTGAACTCGGAGGTCACTCTGATCCTGGGAAACTTGAAGCGGGGTTTGAACTCACTGATCACTCTGGATGCATGAACCGTGTGGAAGCACTGCAACAATAGTGTGTTCAATGGACCTAAGCCTAGTGTAGAGCTTGCCCTCAGGCAGATTATAGAGGAGGCTCACGTCTGGCGTAGGGGCTTAGCTCAGTGAGGTACTGAGGTGGCTGCCAATTAAGTAGTGGGTTAGAAGCTTGGTTCAGGTCGCTTTCTGTGCCAGGCACAAATGCAATTGCTGTACTGTTCTGAGGTTGTGGGTGCATTTGAGTTTTGGGGCATTGTATTTCACAATGCAATGATACGTAGCTCTCCTGGTATCTGAGAAAAAAATGTACAAGGGCAGGCAATGACAATATAAGGGAAGGAGCAAAACTAGCTTAGTTGCCACAAACAAAAGGTATAGTAAATCCAGTAATAGTATTATATGTTGGGGTGGTAGTAATTACCAGCATCAAAAGCTTATTAGCACCATCAGCTATTGCAGCAAATCCCTCAAACTGGTCAGGATCAAAATCCATGAGTGCAGACGTAAGGTACTCCCCAGCAGGTGTAGTTTTTGCTAGCTCATTGCTTGATTTCACAATAGCTCCACTGTTTCCAGTTTTATCCTGAGACACCGGTGACGCAACCACATCTGGTGATCGACTTTTGCTGCTGTCACTCCTGCAGATAGAGTGGTAAATTTGGACTCTATGTCTCAATGTTCTTTACACCAAGTATTATTGACTAATTGTAGGTGTAGGCACTTTTACCTGCCTATCTCCCTTCCCTGACCATTAGCTGGCTTGTTAGCTGAAGGGCTTGAAACCTATGAAAGCAGTTAGTGAAAACCTCGTGGGAATTTTTTAGGGACAAATTTACTAACAGTTCACATAATTACATATGGTAAGAAGAAATTTTATCAATCAAAACGTATTGTCTACTTTGACATACAAGACGAGATTTGGGAGTGGGAGAAAAATAAGGCAGTAACTAAAGCTCCCAAGCCAATGATATATATCCACTCCCTCCGTTCCAAGATGTAGATTGTTACAGCTTTGTCCTAAGTCAAACTTCTCTAACTTTGACCAAGTTTATAGAAAAATGAACCAACATCTACAACAACATCAAATTAGTTTAATGAAATCCACAACTAAACTAGTAAGAAATATGTCTTGATCGTGTATTTAATTGTATTGTACTCCCTCCATTCCAAATTATAAGACGTTTTGGCTTTTCAAGATACATAACTTTTGCTATACACTTAGATATACACTGTATAGATACATAGCAAAAGCAGTGTATCTAGAAAAGCCAAAACCTCTTATAATTTGGAACGGAGGGAGTACATATTAATATATTTTTCTACAGACTTGGTCAAAGATAAGTTTAACTTAGGACAAAACTAAAACGACCTACATTTTGGAACAGAGGGAGGCAGGGAGTACACTCTAATAGGCTTTGCTCAATAAAGTTTCAGAAAAAATATTCTGTCAGAAATTAACAAGCAGCCATAGGCAAACTAGGAGCATTTTTCTAATATATGCACAGGTGTTTTACTAAATCCATCAGGTTAAATGAACAAAGAACATGACAGACACCTATTCCTCATAAACTCAATTTGGGTAGATACTAGACACCCTAAGCAATGAACGATATGGATCAAATCACTTTTTTGTAAAGTCTCAACTGTAGCTTTTAGTTGAATTTTTGTTGTTTCCCATAATTAACAGTCAAAGTTGCAACAAGATGTCCTACAAACATCGTAGACACAGCAAAATGTGACATGAATCTTTGGTCCTTTCCACAGGAAGGCAGTCCCACAAAACAACAAAATAAGTGAAAAAGAACTAGTTCATAACACAGAGCACAACAAGAAAGGATAAAGAATACTTTGGGGGCAACCTGTGGAGCACTTCCTAATCCTGACTTCTCTGTAAGTCTGTCAAAAAGCTTCTCGTTCTCTTCATGTAATTTCTGTATTTGTTTAGTAGCAAAGGAAGGAAAGGTTTGTGAAGATGAGATCAAACAAATGAACTACAAAAGATATTTAGATCAAACTGTAAGAAAACAATTGCGTATCTACCTCAATAAGGGCATCCCTTTTTGCCAATTCCTCCTCAAGCCTTTTAGTCACTGAAGATGAGTCAGCAGTTGATTCTGTTATCTTTGGGGAAGAAATTACTGAAGCAGATTCAGAACCAATAGTTGATCTAGCATCACTAGCATTGAGGGCCTCATTAAGCTGAGACTCAATGGACTTGAGTTTTGTCTGCAAATTATATAAAAGGAAAAAAAAAATGGAAAGCATAAGGGAATATCATGGCATGGTAAAAGATAGATGCTTCAGACATAGTACAACAATTAGCAGAACCACAACCACTCGAGCAGATTGACAAAGAATATAAAATAGGGAGCTACACCATACTAAACCCATTCCAAAGACCAGAAGTGTGTAGCATTAAGGGTGCAATCTTGATGGCTAGATCATAATGCCATTTCCCTATCAAAAACTGAACTTGACTAGAAGTTCATGATAAGTAAACATGATGGGGAAGGGGCTAACAATGACAAGTAGTCTCACTAGTTACTGTCTCCAATGGACAAAGAAGTATTATAAAGATATGATTTTCAAATTTCAATGGTTTATTGCCCAACTAGTAAATGTATGTAAGATCACTTGACCAAAACATAATCTTAGCACAGTTCAAATCTGTGTGATTGGACACAGTAAGTTAACTTATAAATAGACGACTTTGCCATGGTGAAAACCAACAATTTTCGAAGATGCTCTCACAGTGTTATGAAATGTGGTACACAGCATAGATTACTTGAAAAGGGAGGGGGGGGTACATATTTTATGGCTCCATCCGGAAAAACCCTGAAGGGCGGGCCTGGTGCAAGCGGTAGAGTCTTACCGACTGTGACCGGAAGGTCCCAGGTTCGAGTCGCGGTCTCCTCGCATTGCATTACAAAGCGAGGGTAAGGCTTGCCATCGACACCTCCTCCTCAGACCCCGCAGACAGAGCGGGAGCTCTCTCTGATCGGGTACGCCCATCAGGAAAAACCCTCATCCGGACATGATGTGATCAAATCCCATGGTTGTCACTACAGAGCCAACCTTACTAAATTGTAATTAAACTGTGGTCACCGTTAATTAATAAGTTAATTTGTTCAAACAGTGGTTGCTATCTCGTGGATTACCTAACATATACATTAATAATAAATTGAGTGCCCACATATAAACCACAAAACTAACATTAGCTTAGCTTTCACATTATCATGTATAATAGACTGACAGTACAGTGGAGAAACTGAGAACCATAGTGCATGTTCACAACATAATCATGAAGAAAAATAATAGCAAAAGCGTACAATATTTATAAATAAGTGACAGGACAAAAGACAATAAGACAGTAGTAAAAAAAAAGTAGGTGCATCCAAACATGACTCAATGAATATGCTTGTTAGGAAAGATATAGAGATGGATTAACATTTAACCTGTAGTGACTGAATTGTTAAATCTCGTTCTTGCATTTTTAGTTTTTGCTCTTGTTCAACTTTCAAAAGATGAGAAATCTGATCCCTTAGCTGGTTATTCTGCTCTTTCTCAATCTTGTGCTTCTCGGCAAGCATTAAATTTTCAGACTGCAACCAATAACGAGACAACAAAAATGTCAAGTATTTTCAATTTTTAAAAACTCACAAGAAATGGATGGAACGCTATATCAAGTTCTACAGCTACAGTTAAGTAAACTGCAACCAATAGCCAAATTATCAAATTACATAGACTTAATAGATGTATCACAACAGGTGTAAGACTAAAGAGGGAAGATGAAACAAATTGTGACTATTCACTTAAGCAAACTAGGCCTTTTTATCAGGGAATAGAAGGCAAGCAACCTAGTTAAATATACTTGACAATAACATTACAGTAATCCACAGGATCCAACAAAACGGCAGCAAAAAAGAAGAATGGCTTGTTTAAAGCTTTCCCTTAAAAATCTTCCTCGTGTTCCTAAATAACAAAGCAGTTCAACATGGATGTGATTGATTGCCTGCATTAAGACGTATCCAGAGTTGTCCAATGCAAGCTTCTGGTGTTTGGTTGCGCGTATTGGGTATTATGCAGGCTTACAGAGTGCAAAAGAGGTCCCCACCACAGCATTTTGGAGCAATGATTTCAAGTCGTCCGATTAATCGCGATTAATCGCGATTAATCGTCCTAATCGGTCCTGGGTGCTCGATTAGGGACCTCGACCCGATTAGCAGCCTGTTCGGGAGGCCGTATCGTATCGTGGATTATTTACTGTTGGCTGGTTTGGTGTGAGAGAAAAACACTGTTCCCGGCTGGAAATTTACGATCGTTTACGAGCAAGCGAACAGGCTGTAGCTCGATTAGGGGCCTGGTCGTCCGACTAATCGTCGCCTAATCGCGATTAGTCGTCCGATTAGGGGTGGGACGACTAGTTTTGGCTGTTTTTTTTTGCTGCCGCGTGCGGGCCATCGGGCGGCGTGCGAGCGTGCAGAGCGCGAAAACGCAGCCGCGTGAGCTGAGCTGCTGGCGGGGTCACGGCTGTGCAGTGGCGTGGGGAGGATAAGGGTTTTGGTTGGTAGCGACAAAAATTTCACGGGAAATTATGACCGCCGCCCCTGTACTTTCGCGCGACTCGCGAGTCGCGCCCGCCCTCTGCTCCGCCGGTGGCCGGCGCCCCTGCAGCCTGCTCCTGCCGGCGGCCCTCTGCTCCCGCGGTGGCCAGCCGCCTAGCCCTCTGCATCTGCTCCGCCGGCGCCATCTGCTTGATCCGCTCGCCCTCTGCCTCGCGGTGGTGGTGGCCATCTCGCGGACTCTGCGCCCGCCCGCCCTCTGTTCTGCAGGTGCACGGTCGCTCGGCCTCTGCTGCTCAGTGTCTGCTCCCGCTGCCCGCCATCTCCTCCCGCCGCCCTCTGCTCCAGCGAGTGGCGCCCCTGCTGATCTATTCCCTTGCTTGTTGCCTCCCCTGCCCGTTCAGTCCTTCCCTCATCCCCTCCTCTCGCGCCTCTCATCTCGCTCCTCCGCCTCTCATCTCTACTCCCCTCGATTTGGATGCTTCATGTTCTCTCAGGGTGGGGGGCTCAGAGTTAGAGCTGCATTCTCTCGATTTGAAGGCTGAAGGTGCCGCCCTCTGCTCGTCGTCTGCTATTGATATTTGCTATCGCAGCAGTCTTTGCTATTGATATGTGTCAATAACTCAAGATCAAGACTACATTAGTGTTGCTAATTATGGTGTTCTTTGGTATTGCAGCTTCCAAGAACAAGTCAGCAAAGGAATGGAGTTTGGGACGGTTGGACAGTGAAGAAAAGGCAAGAAAACAACTCCCACAAGTAAGTCACTTGCTAAACACTAATGTAGTCTTGATGCTTGCTATATTGTGTACACTATATAGTACATATAGGTATATATATAGTATGTATATGTCCTGATGCATAGGACGATTATATGGACGACCAGGGTCGACTAGGCTCGACTAATCGGCCTGGTCGACGACTAATCACGATTAGTCGCCTGGTCGGTCCTATAGCGACTAGGTTCGACTAGACGACCTGAAAACATTGTTTTGGAGTACGCCAAAATCGGCCATGCTAGCTTGCACCAGCGGCCAGGCCCGTAACAAGTTTGTGTCCCCTTACCTCCTGTTGCTTGCCACCACTCCGTCGCCACCATGGCAGTTCAGGCACGGCTGTTGACGGCAAGCAGTGGCGGGCTGTGACGGAACACAGTAGAGGAGCAGCAGACTGCAGTAATGAGAATGCTGGCAAGCGCGGCGGATGATGTTGCTCCCAACATTGACGGCGCTGGCGCAAATCTCGCAGTTCATGGCTGTCAGTACCGCATCCACTGCACGCCCCTCAAGATCTACCTCAGCAGCTATGAGCTACACATCAGAGCGGCCCAGGATGACAGTCAACTCGGGCACGTGGAGGTGGGTGAGCATGGTGACCGCCAGCATGTACCGCACATTAAATGACCACTGCGCCTCCTGTTGTCGCGTCCAGTGAGGAGCTGGTCGATATGGAACTGCGCAACAACAGCTTTGAGCATGTGCTGGCGCCCACAGGATCTAGGCTGCAACCGCTACTTACATTCTTGGATCTGATGCAGATACATGTTCTTGCTTGCAGTGGCCACGAGATCCACGTGCCTCTCACTGCCCAACAGCAACGAACTGCAGCAAGAGGACTATCTTTCAAGCTCCCATGACTAGAAACACCAGTGAGCTGTAGATAAGTTTGGTGTATCTGAACTTCGGTTTGGTGGATGTGTAGACTGATTTGTCCAACCTGCTGCTTGCTTGCGGCAGCCTCGGTGCTTGCTTGATACATGGAAGGCTTGTGTTGTGCTGTGTTCGTTTGAATTTGGACACAGTTTGTTTTGTGGAAGAGAGACTCAAGTAGAAGACAGAAGGGAGGCGGCTGGTGTTAATGGAGGAGAAGCAAAGCGAAGGGAGCTAGTCAGCTAGCTGTTATGCCTGTGGGGTTCGGAAGAAGGAGATGATACATAATCTCACCACAAGAATAAAGAGGTGGCCATATACAATCCAAATCAGGCAACCAAACAAAAAGCGTATCGTATGCAATTTACCTAAACAGGGCAACAAAAACACGAGCACATTGCATTGTATTTATGCTGGCTTGGACTATGCTGCAGAAGGTAGGGGTTCACATTTTCTTCTAGGGTTCTCATATTGTTGCAAGCATCGCCATGTTTGTTTGAGCTTTTGGTCACTTTTAGACTACTAGCTTTTGGACTTTCCAAAAGCCAAACAGCTCCATAAACCAAAAAGCCCAAAAGCTCATTATAGTGAGCTTCTGGCTTTTTGGATTCGAGGAGCTTTTTGGCTTTTGAAAGGTTCAAAAGCTGAGGTCCAAAAGCTCCCAGAAAGCCCAAACAAACAGGCCTGCAGGCAACCAATCACACGCTAAAAGAAACTTCGAGTTCAGAATAAACAATAACCTATCTGTCTTGGGTACTAATTTAAGCTCTGTTTATTTGATTGTAACAATTTGGCCTATGGATTGTTACAGTCTAGGACCTGTTTGTTTCAGCTTGCAGATTGTAACAACCTGCAAGCTGTGATCCTAATATGCAAGCTAAAACAAACAGGGCTTAACAAGATCAGAAGCAAACACTGCAGATAATTAAAATCAACCTTGAGATCAGCTTGGAGTGTAGACGAAACTCTCCAGGCTTTCTGAACTTCGTTGAACAGCAGTGTGCACTGGTCGTTAGCCTCTTTTAGAGAATGTTTTAACCCAATAACTTCTTGCTTGCAGGTCTAGAACCTCCTTTTCTTTGTCATGCAATTCTTTGCGTGAATCATTTGCCTGTAAATAAACCAGAAAAGTGGTTACAGGTAGTTCTACTACAATGCTGGCTTGGTGCCAACTTGCATGTGGATGCCAGGTTCAGCAAACAAATAGGACCAAAAGAATGAGCTGCCTAACATATATATTTATGTTAGTACAAATTATTTTAATAACTCTACCCACTAGAATGGATGTGTATGTAGCACTGAAACTAGCAAAACACAGCCACAAATAATTATATGCATCAATGAACTGTATAGGGTGCACCAACTGCTCCCAAGAAAAGAGAAAAGAAACGGGTAAAAGGCACAGCGAGAAATTTTCTTCAGCAGTGCATCCTTTATAAAGAATTTCTCATGGCCACCATAACTCCCAAGGGCTGTCCTTTCCCATCTCCCCTACCTTCTTCCTCAACACTACTAACTCTTACTATAGCGCAACAATATGAGAACCCTACAAGAAAATGTGACACTTAATCCAACTACATCTAGCGTGCATAGATGCACAAGAAAAAAAAAACCTGGAACGATGTAGAGAAGAGAACAGTCAAAAGATTCAAATCATACCACGTCTTTCCATTTCTTTATTGTGTCACGATTTCCAAGGCTCAGCTCAGCATTTCTTGCTCTTGCAGAAAAACTGAGTGTGGATAAAGTTCTTGACAAATTTGAAGCACTTGGACTTACATGCACGATCAGCAAGATCTTTGAGCTACTTCCTGCACCAATGAAGGTATGTTAAAACAGAGGCACTACCACAGGCTGAAAGTTTATGTTATGCCTCTGCTTCCCAGAGAGCAGGTACCTTCCCGTAGGCAAAAGAAGACTATGTTTTCTATGACACATGTGCATTTCCTAAGGAGCTAAGACACGTTGTTAAATAACTAAACAACCTCTAGTACTTAGCATTCATTTTGTTCCTTCCCGTTGTTCAGGTGGTGTGCCTCCAATTCATTAAACAAAAATTTCCAACATATTAACAGCAGAAACGCATCAAACAAAGTATCAGCCTCAGAATGGTGTTACCTAGAGAGTCAGCTAAGATTTGCGTGATTCTTGAATTCCCAGATAGAACAGGCTCCTTCTTTGCGCTTAAAGAGGCAAATGCATCACCCAGCCTATGCAGACAATAAATGAGAGCAACTTTACGTATAAGCCATAAGGACATTAAAAAGGAAGGAACCATTGAAGGTAGTGTGCCACATAACAAGGGCCCATTTTACTGGGAATCATACAGGCAAATGATCATAACAAACAGAAAAGGTAGAAATATGGTCTCGAATCAAGCTACTTACGCAGAAAGTGACTTTGAGACATGCAAGAAATCTGTTACATTGTCCCTGTTGGCATCTTCTTCAAGCAAGCATTCACTTGCTGGCAAATCCACTAGAGAAAGCTTACTGTATAGATGCTCTCCTGTTACGTAGTTTCTGTAGTGTATGTGAATGGTAATGATCCTGAAAAGGAACAACTGATTCAAATTTAAATAGAAAGGTGATGGTGGACGAAACAGAGCATTACAAAACCAAGCATTAATAGCCTATAATCAGATGCTGTGAACAAAAAAATAAGTGATTAGTAACTAAGAAGGAAGCAGTAAAGAGCGCCATTTTTATTCGCAAAAGAGAAAGTGTGCCATTTTAAATTAACCAGCAAACAAATGGAGCTGGCAGTATATGCTCAAGAAAGAAAGATGGAGCTGGTGGTCTGCACCTGACTCCATAACATAGGGATGCTTTTTAAACAGTGATAGTGTTCGAGAAACAATGGCCAAGAGGTGTCTACTAGACAAACTCTACACAATGCCACCACCTCTAATCTTTTGGGGCTACAGAGGCAACGCATAGGGCACTGCTACGACATTGAGCTGAGTTATGTGACCATTTAAACTAAACCCGTGCTGTATACTCTCCCCCATCATGTTCGCATGAACTCTTGAAACCTGTATATGCTACACCTTTTGCATACTAATACAAATGTTCAGGCTGGCATCTTGCCCACTGTAGTTCCGGTCAAAAAAAATATAGTATCCTACAGAAACAAAACAGGAAATGTTTCACATACAGGTGAGAAACCATGGCCTTTGGCGAATTTACTGATCGGTTTTGAAGTGCTATCTTTAGTGCTGCAGAAAACTCTAGTGGATTTTCAACCTTCTCTTGGACAAGCTCCACAAAGGATTCTTGTACACCCATTCGAACTTTTGGAACCGTGCTGCTAGATTCTGATAGCAAATCCCTAACCTGTGTTACAAAGAACACACAAATTTATCTCCTTATTATACCATATACAGGGTAAGGTAACATGGAGCAACATGTTTTCTTAACAGCATAAAGAAAATCACTGACAAATGATTATAGAGCTCAAAGGCACCTGATCATTGTAGAGCTCACAGGCAGTAAAATAGAAGTTAAAATGTGCTGTAGAAGTAGTATCTGAGTTTGAAAGATCAAACAGTTCTTCAAAGCTCCGTAGATATAAACCACGATCGTGACTAGATCCTTCCTGGAAAGAGCACATGATTAAAAAACAAGATGTTGCAGACATGTATTAAAAAACATGCCAGCACAGAGCTCAGATATCATGTAAGAATATCAGTACTTTGTGTAAATGCTGACTGGCTTAAAGATGATAGTGATAACCAAGGAGTAAAAAATCAGATTTTACCAAACAAAGTAATTCTAAAGCATTAGCATCATGAAATAAAAAAAAAATGTTAGCATCACCTATGAAAGCTCTATGATATACTACATGTAACCACCAAACCAATATAAGAATGCCATGTCACAAACATTACTATGTTTCTTTGTGTAAGCTATCGACACTCATGTTTCATTCTTATAGCTTTCTAAAGTATGTTTCTTTTGCGAGAATATGGATTACACAACCAATCAACATATAGTATGTGATTGTTTGAACACAAGAAAATATACTTTGACCAATTGTATTTGTTTATGAAAGCAAAGTGTCCAATTGCATCAGATTCCATAATTCTTGTTCTTTCATTAAAGCTCAGTTGGGCTCCAAATGTGGTTTCAGCGCTGTGCAGCCCTGTGCTATGAAGTGGTATTCAAGATAGTATTTATCATATGAAGAAATTAATATGGTCTTAAAGAGACAAATTTGCACATGACTTCATCTAAAATTGTAGATTAAACAGTGGCCCACGCGAGAGTGTCAAAGACTTGATGTGTACCAGTGTATGTGTTTTGCCAGAACAGCTTTGACCATATGCAAATATGGAAATATTGTACCCATCCAGGGCAGATTGCACAAATGGTTGAACATCAAGGAAAAGTTCACCTGAAAGGAAAATTGGATGGCTGTGTAAGAACAATATAGGACAACACAGTATTCAACCAAGATTCCGCACAATCTAGCTCCTTTAAATCGCATCCTACATTGCTGTACACCTAACATTCACAAGAAAGTATGTTTAGAACCCCACTCCACCAGTCTTACCTTGCCCAATGTGGGGTCCATATACCCTATCAAACTCGTAATCCTTCTTAGGATTGGTTAAAGATTCATCTCCTGTGTTTACACGGATACTAAAATCATCTGGAAACTCTACTACTGATGGACCCTCGTCTTCAAATAGTGGTCTACTACGACAAAACACTTTGACATTGCCTGCAAGATGGTGAAATTTATTGAATTATTATGGGCAATTAAAATATGTCATACATAAAAGATATTTGCAAGCCAGAAAGTATAAGAACATTGTGTGGGGTACCTTTCAAGGTCAATAGGTCATTGAAAAGCCTTTTCTTCTCATGAATCAAAGGGGTGATTCTAGCTTCAGTCTCAAGGGCAGCTTCATCTATAGCAAAAAAAGGACAGAAATCTCAGAGGACAACGAAAAGATTAAATAATATGAAACATAAGGATGATAACTCAATGAGAGCATGGATTTGAGAACACGAGAGTTGACATTTGCCAGCAAACACCCTTGGAACTTCTACAATTGATTGGTACACAAATAGGGAGAAGAGAACAAGGTATCACAGACACCAGCAACCATATGGTGTGCTGATCAACTAAACACCGCTGGAGCATGTAACTTATTTTAAGAAACATACAAGCTCATTGTTACTGATCCGAGGAAGAAAACATTACGATGATCAACCAAAGCAAGGCATAGAAGAAAAAAAACAAAATTGAGTTCAATGATGATCAAGGGTGCTCCCTTAATGATCCAAGGGTAGCAGAACAAGAAATGCTTCAATTTGCTGAAATACATGAAGAAGAGATGCCGAGCTTACCTAATTTTCGAGTTCTGTCGGCAAGAAATCCAAGATAGCGGGTGACACGGCCCAATTTTGCATTAGAATACTCAAGAAGGTCACTAGCTTCCTGTCTAAGCTCCAAGCAGTCCTCTCTAGCAAGCTACAAAGGGAGTTTAAAAATGTCAGTTGGCAATAACTGAGTGGATGGCAACAAAGGGAGACAAGGAGCATGAAGTGGGTAAATAAACTATCATGGACAACAAATCTGATTTGATGTGATACTATCATGCCAAACCGTGGCTATATAAACATACTAAAAATGGATGAAAGGGTAGGCCAGGCACTTTTGGGGGGCTCTATAACTCATTTGCACTCCTTCGTTCCCAGTGATCAACTAGTATATTACTTCTGACACTTGCACTAATTCAACAAGTAGAATATATTAAGGCCCATCACACTAATAACAGCATCATCTGTCCAACCACACGAAACTAAAGCACATGGGCCTGGCAAACACATCCCTTAATCACCTGAATTTGTGCCAATCTAACACATCCTAGTTTTGGTTTTCACATCCAACAAATTTCAAAACTCCCAGCATCCGTCTGCAACAGAACCACCAAGCCCAAACAGATCGAGCAAAATGGTTTCCAATCAAACCACCACGGCCACCAATAATCCATACAATCTGTGTCAATCAACTTGTGCTAATTCATAAACCTGTGGAGGGAGCTATACAAAGTCATCCCATTTTTCCCGCTCAACCTATGCAAAATGCTTCATCAGTGGCGGCATTCCAGCACCATACAAGCTACAATACCAGCTTGCGGCACCCCCGCGGACAAATCGAGCTAAAACCAGACACAACAAAAGCATCAACCGTTACCGAACCAGAACTCAAGAGGCGAGACGAGCACCTGGACGCTGTCCGCGAGCTGGTCCAACCGGTCGGCAACGGGCACCGCGCCGGCCCCGGCGGAGGGGCGGAGCACCATGGCCGTCGGCGGAGCCCGCGGCATCGCGGTCGGTGCCGACGCCGTCGTCGTCGCCGGCTGCGGCGGCTCGAACCCCGACACGTCCCAGGACCAGCTGCCGCGCGAGCCCGCCATTGGCGCCGCGGCGACCGGAAACCCTAGATCGCGACAGGAAAAGAAACCGGGGTTTTGCAAGGAGGAGAGGCGGAGGGAGGAGGTGGCGGCGGTGGTGGTGAACGGAGGGAGCCGTCCGCCGGCGCCTCTATTCTATCTATCGCTTCGAGAAGGAGAGGGCGGAGGACAGGGGCCAGAAATTTTTCCGCTTTCGCATTTCGGTTTGTTGCTTCTCCTTGTTCCGTTGGACCCCACCTCGGCTGATGGGCTTGTGGTGGAACCGTGGAAAGCTTTTCGGCATCGGTTTCTGTTCGTTTCTGGGTGTGGTTTGAAATCGACGGGCCCACGGGCGGGGAACAGAAGAGTGAAGTTGCGAAGGGAGTAACTGCTGGGCGTACCCGCGTTTCACTGGTAATCGTATCTATAAACGTGACGTTATTTATACCTCATGACAAACCCGAGAAACTGTAATAAATGAAACGTGTTGACAAATTTATACTCGTGTAATCAGAGTACTGGCTACCGGTGTCACAACTCGTGTTAGGTTTTTCCCGATATATTAGGACACGTACGACGACTTTGATTGAGCCGTCTATTTAGTGGCAATTTTACCGATAGATTCTCCGTTTACAGCAATCAACGAAAAGAGAGGAGAGCGTTGTCGTCTCATTCATCGACGACACATGGTCGTACCGAAGTAAGTCCCAGCCTAGATGGCGCCACTGCAGATCCAGAACTACTTTTTAGTTATGAAACAGTATTTTCCTCTCACAATATTTCAGCATAAGCATCAGCATAAGCCAAATTTCAACATCAGCGAACAGGGTGGTGGGAAACACATGGTGATCAAACCGAACTCTTTGTCGCCTCAAAATAAACTTGTCACTGCTATAGCATAGGAAGGGGGAGTCAGAGAGTAAATTTGTTCATGTTGGACGTGTTTAAGAGAGAAAGGAAGGGTAGGTTCATTCCAAAATAGAGTTTGGTCATTTTAGAAATGCTAGGTATTATTGGAGATGTTCTAATCTTGCGTTCACCTAACCCTAGGCAAACTATGCTTGCCATATAAATGTGGCAAACAAAATTTAAGTCACAACTATGGCAAAGTTTGACACATTGTGAGCTTACAAATTGTGGCAAACCATAACCGAGGTGGTGAATCAAACCGTAGCCTAAGAAACCTCGTCCCGAGATTCAGGACGAAAGACTTCCTAAGGGTGAAGAGCGGGCTGCCCGCTTGGCATTGTTGAAAACCATATCGAAAATCTGCACCTATCTCCTAAGTACCTCCTTTTTTGCAATTTCAGAAGGAAACCCTACTACATCTAGCTTGACACAGATCCCCCATCAGAACACTGTAAGATTTTCAAGGAAGGTTTATGGCAAGAGAGCATATCGGTGTAATCTTGTAATGGATCATGATCCAAAAACCTAGATACCAGCGCGCGCCAAGCAGCACAACCATGTGGCAGCTGTTCCATAAGAGGCCCTCGGTTTCGTCGTGGAACCATAGGTCATCAACCATGGGACCATTGCTGAACATACAACCAACAGAAAAAGTAGTGATAAAGATAGGAAGGTCAAGAGAAAAAAATATGTGGAAGAGTTAGGCAAACCCGGTGTCGGTGTTTCGGACCAGGGGGTCCTCAACCAACCAGTGAATTTGTTATGCGTGCTCCCGATCCGGATGGTGATGCAAAGAGACACAAGGTTTATGCTGGTTCAGGCAATCGAGGCCCTACGTCCAGTCTGAGAGATCTATCTTGTATTCCTTGTACCGAGGTGCTCGTAATAGGGGGTTACAAGCTAAAGGAGAGAAGGAGCTGGTCCTAGATCTCGGCGGGGTGTCGTGTGGGCCGCTTGAGACGTTGCTCTCAGGCGGCAGGAGTGTGCGTGTGTGTGTGTTACAAGGTGTCCCCCCTCTTAAAACAACCCAGGTCCTCTCCTTTTATAGCATGAAGGGAGGACTAGGCGGTACATGAGTGACTATACTGGCGTCGTGTGAACAGAGGCGGGCGTGTCAGGGCCTGTAGCCTATTCACTGTGGCGGTGTGGTGTCGGAGTGGTCCGATCCTTGAGCCTTTGGGCGACGTGGCCGTCCTATCGAGATCTCGTGCGTCGTGGGAGCCGGGATCGCCTTGGAGTGGGCGCGGCGGTGGGCGTGCAAGCCATCGTGGGATGGCTGTGAGGCCGAGACTTGGTTGGGTGTCGAGGCTGCACCATGGTGGAGGGTCTCGGCGAGCACGATCCCAAGATGGTCGAGACCTTGGTGTGTCTGGTGCCGAGGCCTCGAGTGGGGCGGCCGATCGTGGGTATAGTGTTAGGACACGGTGGCGGTAATTCCGCATTCTGTCCCGGCCCGGTATGGCGCGAGATCGTGGATCTGATGTTAGGACACGGTGGCCAGTAATCCCCCCCGTACCTGTCCCGGTGGTATGGATGATGCGACCAGGTCGTCGGCCGCCATTCTGTGGCGTTGAGCCGTCGTCCGGCTAAGATTGCGGGAGTGGTTGAAGCATTAATGGGACATGACACGTTATGCGGAGGGTGACGAGGCGCGGGGGTGACGGGCTACTGGGTGACCCGGCCTCGAGCGACACGGAGAATGAGGCCTCGCGCGAGACGGAGATCGGGTTCCTTGCCGAGGCCTTGCGCAAGACGCCTCTCGCGACATCTGGAGAATGTACCCGCCGAGGCCTTCCTGGAGAGCCTCGGGCGAGACGGAGATGGCGCCCCGCCGAGGCTCGGCGCCCCTGCCGAGGCCTACCACAGGGAGACTTCATGAGGCGGAGTTTGTTCCGAGACCTCTGCTCGAGGCTCGAGGTGAGGTGGAGGAGGGCTCGGTCGTGGCGGTGAGAGGCCAACGGCTTACCTTCTAGCTTTATTTTGATGTTTGCTTGGGGTACCCCGTTCTAAGGTACCCGACAGTAGCCTGAGCCTCGGGGTGAGTGCGTGCACTCTCCACGAGGGTTCGTCAGCTGGTTTATGTCACTCATGCAGGTGGTTTGTTTTTTCGAGGTTCCGGTGGGTGTGCAGCCACTGGGCTGTGTGTCTTTTGAGCCCCTGGAGGAGTGAAGTTACTCCTCCGGGGCTTTCTCCACTTTCGCGTTTGAGTGATCAGTTCTTATTGCATTTGCCGAGCCCATAAGCGCAAGTTCGGGCTTGGGGGTCTCGGCGAGGTTGCAAAAAAGGCCCTCTAGCCTCTGCATGGAGGCGAGAGGTTCGTCAAGGTCCCCCGACGTTGGGTATGTCCCTCACGCTTCCTTTCGCTCGGAAGGAGGGTGGAATGTGCCATGCTACCCTCGATGGGCGCGAGCATGGACACTTTCGGTGAGTCTGTTATCGGGTAGTCCAGAGGAGGCCCGAGCCCCGTTTCGCTAGGGGATGGTGGCGGTCTAGAGACGCACTCCAAAAGTACTGGGAGGATTTCTCTAGTGGGTGCCGAGGCCGTTCATTTGGGCCTCGGTGGCTTGGTGCCTCCTCACGGTGGGATCCCATTCGGATACTTTCTTGTCGGTCTCGGACACACGACTTAGGGCGCCCGAAGCGATCTGCTCGTTTGGGCTGGGTCATTCGTAGGCTCGCCTCAAGTCGCCCCCGACTCTGTTGCCTGGGGCGGTATCCGAAACCTCTTGAGAGGCCGACCTTGGACCTGGACCGAAACTGTGGGCTCGGTGCCCTTTATCGTGTTTTTGTCTTGGTTTTTGGGTGCAAGAGGAGCCCCAGAGCCTCCGCCTAGAGCAAGAGGACGGTCGGGGGTCTCTGACTTTTTCATTCGCCTCACATATCCTTTTCGTTCGGAAGAGGGTTGTTTGCCGAGCCCATTCTGGTCTCGGCAAGGTCGCAGAAGAGCCCCTAGCCTCTACCACAGAGCGAGAGGGCCATCGGGAGTTCCCCGACTTTTTATCGCCCCTGCTGGCGTGAGGTTTGTTTCTTGAGCCCATTCTGGTCTCGGCAAGGTCGCAGGAAGAGCCCCTAGCCTCTGCGTAGAGCGAGAGGGCCGTCGGGAGTTCCCCTAACTTTTTATACGCCCCTCGCGCGTGAGGGTTTGTTTGCCGAGGCCCCTTTGGGCGCGGGCCCGGGTCGTGGGGTCTCGGCATATTTGCAGGAGGAGCCCCCTAGCCTCTGCATAGGGCGAGAAGGCCGTCGGGTGGTTCCCCTGACTTTTTATGCGACCCTCACGCTTCCTTTTCGCTCGGAAGGAGGGGTGGAATGTGCCTCGCTACCCTCGATGGGCACGAGCGGTGGCACTTCCGGTGAGCTGTTATCGGGTAGTCCGAGTGGAGGCCCGAACCCCGTTCGTTAGGGGACGGCTAGCGGTCCAGAGACACACTCCAAGAGTACCGGAGGATTTCTCTAGTGGGTGCCGAGGCCGTTCGTTGGGCCTCAGTGGCTCGGTGCCTCCCTACGGTGGGATCCCATTCGGATACTTTCCTGCCGGTCTCGGACACGACTTTGGGCGTCCCAAGCGTTTCGCTCGCTTGGGTCTCGGGCCCGAATAGGCTCGCCCGCAGTCGCCCCTGACTCTGTTATCCTAGGGTAGCTATCGAAACCCTTTTGGGGTCCACCTTGAACCCCGGATCGTAATAGGTTCAGAGAGCCGGTTCCTTCCTATGAAAGGAGCAGCCGCGGAAATATTTTCCCTATTGGCTCGGCCCACAGTGGCGCGCGCTTTTGAGGCGATTTTATTGGGAGTCGAAGCGGTACTCTGCCGTAGTAGTGGTCGATCGTGGCGTGGTGGATGGGACGTAACCGTCCTCACATTTAATGCGGAGGCGTGGGCACGTGGGCGGTGAAATCGGCTCGTGGTTAACGCGCGCCAGATTAGGGGGAAATCTCCCGATTTCATCGCGCATTCGTTCGCCTCCTCCTGCATAAATACCGGGAGTTTGCCCTCCTCGTCTTACCTTGCTTCATCGCCTTGCCACCGAGCCGTCGCTAGAGCAATGAAAAGCCGAGAAGGAGAGGAGGAAGAGCGAGCCTAGGGAGGAAGCGAGAAAAAGTGAGAGCATGGGAGGAGA